GTCTAGGCATCCTATTATAGGCTTAAATGCTATGGAATGAGCCATGAAGTCAACACAAAAGGCTGGGTTAAAATTTAAACATTGAATTTTGAACTTTTAATCAAACCACTGCAATGATAGATGGGAAAACTGTAACAACTAGGAACAAAAAGGACGTTCCTCAACTGTTGGGGGCAAAACATGATCATTTTTCAGTTGATTCAGGACCAGAATCAAATTTTTTTTTTTTGCAAATCAGAAAAAAACGAAGAGGCGAATCCGAGAACCAACAAATTAAATTGGTGTGGCCTAATAGATAAATCAAAATTATACATGTACAGTACCCTTTTACTCCTCTATGATGTTTGCATACCATAACTTACTTGCTTTAGTGCTCTAACCATAATAAAGGCACTTAAGATAGATGATTACTGTACATTCAGTGAACTTTGCAGCACTTAAATTTGGTACACATGTAGCATGATGACAATCAAGAGTTTGCTGTTGAACAAACCATAATAATGTAATGGAAGATTGAGCTTGTATATTATATTTGCATTGTGTTCACAGTAAGAGGTAAATGATGAACATAAAACCACTAAAACTAATTTATAATTTACAGAATGCAAACAGCAACAAGACAGAGTGAACAGACAGAAGAACTATTACAGGCTCTCGTTCTTCCCTCGCACCATCAAGGAGTGGAATGAACTTGAGCCCAGTGTGGCGGAGGCGAAGTCCATCCCCCAGTTCAAAGCAGAGCTGGGACGGGCTTCGCTGCATTGAGCTGCTTCCCTGTCCTTGTACATATGTAAATATGTGTAATACTAGCACCACTGATTTTCACTTGTCCTGTCCTTGCACTTGTCTATGTCCATCCCTACCCTACCCTTTGTTTGCACACAGTCACTAATCTGTGCAGCTGCTAATAATCCTCTTCTTAGAGGGATGAGCAGTACCGAAGATGATGATGACGATTGCTGCATTGTGAATGAGTCCTTATTTTGGGGGGCTAAAAGAATAATAATTTATTTAATTTTATCAATGGAGAAAGGCAGTTTTACCCCCACAGTAGAAGATATGGACTTTCTGGTACTCATCGTCTGGAAAGTTGGTCAAATCGTCCTGCCGGTCACGAAGTAGATCTTGTTTATCCAGGATCCACTGTTGACTGCAAAACAACAAACAAGAAAGTAACAATAAAACCACCATGAAATACTCAGTTTTCTTACATTTCTAATTCTATTGTGTATTTCTTCCTATGGGGCCACCATTATAGGCAACATACATGCATATACCAGGAAATTGAAGACGGGAAATATTAGATTACCTTTTCTAGGACCATTGACCTAACTTCCTGTCAGTGTCCCTGAGATGTGGAAATAACTTACAGAAACACAACCAAGCACACAAACGTACACACTGAAAAAAATATAAAACATCCATATACTCGTACATGAAGGTAATAGGACATAAACAAAGGTGTATTCTTGGATATATAATAATTATATGATGTTTTCACCAGACTAAGTAAAAACAATAATTTTTTCAAGTAAAGTGCCATAACCATGCCCCCCCCCCCTTCGACAATGAAACAAAACATTCCAGCTTACCAATGCGAGCTCTGCCAAAAGTTACCAGCCATTCCTGTAGAAAATAATCCCTATGTGACAGACGCAGCAAAATAATCACCGAAAACGAACACTTATAGAGCAGAAACAAAAGATTTTGGTGATTTTTTCTTGTCGAAAAAAATACCCGCGCAAATTTTCTCAGGAAGTTCTTTCACCTCTGACCTCCTGACCTCTCACCCGATGTTTCATGAGTGTCGAAATATGTTGGATTATCGGTAACGATAACGAAACTAAATTTTATGACTTTATAGCATGTCAAATGTCTGGATTTCAAATTTTCGTTACCTATTGATTTGATTTATCATTTAGCATCTTTAAAGTAGCTTTAAATGGGTTAAAACTAGCGCTAAAATTGAAATTTTGACTGTTGGCAGTTTTTAGCGTTACGTGATCGGGAACAAGTCTGCACAGGCACCTGCGGAGTGCTTTCTGTGAAGAGGCAACAAAATAGTCCACAAATTAAAATCACTTACCTGACTAGCAAAAAAGCGACACACATCAACTAAAATAATCTCAACGTCAGAAAAGTATTTTACATAACTTTTAATATATAGAAATTCCCATATATTGAGTAGAAATGGGAAGATATGGACCACTTAATTTGGCGGATTACTGTATTCATCCGCTTCCCAACCCCTGACCTCTCAGTGGGCCAGAATGTCGTCCACACGGAAATTCTGAGACAAAAAATGTTGAATTTTAGTTCCTTTAACCGCCACTTGGACAACTAAACGTAAGTTCTTATTATGCATTAACGTATTAGGTACAAAGTGACCAGTTTCTGCTAGTCGTAAGAGAAAGTAAGTTTTACTGTCGCAGATACATGTGTTCAAATGTCAAGAATTATTGTGCTTTTTCGGGGGGAGGGGGGTGGTTTTGTAACTAACCTGAAGATACTGCATGACCTTTCAGAATATCGTATTAATTTATATGCTTCATCAAAGCTTTGCAGTGATACTAGGTACAGAAATGATCGAATTTATGGCAATGTTTTTACTAAAATATCTACGTTAACGTGAGTTCACTCAGCTCAAAGTTAAGATATTTATAACCGTTGAAGTTGAATTAAAATTTGTGTCAGTTCAAACCTATAGTATAATGTATAACTATAAGTTAACCATTATGTTCAAGCCAAAGTTTACACATGTATATGGCATGGCCATTTCAATATCCCCTCCTTAATTTTGCAGTCATGGCACATAATTTTATCGTAATAAATATGCTCAAATTATGAAATCATACATTGTAAACTGCTGCAAAAAAGCAAGTTTGACATAGAATTTTACTAATGAATACCACAGTAATTTCAGTCATCTTTCATCTAGTACTTCAGCAAACAGAAAATCCTTTTTAATAACTGGTGACAGTTGGGAATGGAGAAGCCATCAAGTCATTAATCAAAATGTAGTTGTCTTGACATGTGATCATGCCTGAGTTGTGACCCTGCAACAAGAGAGCAAGTTATAACATGCACCACAACTTCAAAAACATACAGAACAGCCTGCTCCTTGACAAATACTACTATAGTTGTAAAGTTGGTAAGTCCAGTTCCGTGTGTTGGAAATTACAGTGTTAGTTTCTTCATGTTATGTTACAATGTAAACCAGGCTTAATTCTATTGCAGAATGTATAAAATACCTCTTGAATTTTTGGGGTGAAAATTGCCTTGTCATGATGACTATATTGTTACTACTACTAGTAGAGTATTAGTTAACCTTCAGCCTGCTAAGGTAGCTGTTTTGCACTGAATTTGTATTGATTATGGAGTGTGGCAGCAGCGAGATTGTTAAAAACATATTGTACATTAACTCTTTAAAACAAACCCTTTAAAGAACAAGTTTCTACATATTTCCTTGTCGTTGCTACAGATTTCCCATCATGCCTAAGGAGAAACGGCGCAGGAACAAACGGCGCAGAATGCCGCGCAAGTTCAAACGGCCGCGGTCGTCGTCCGGCAGTTCGTCGGACAGGAAACAGCAGCGGAGAGTGGACGCCGTGATCAGCCAGGCCGCTCCCATCATCGCCACCACCGCCATTCTGGCCTCTCAGGGGCATTTCTCGGAAGCGGGAAGCAGTAGTGGTCCACAGCCGTCCACCAGCGGTGCCACAAGCTCAAGTGCCTCAAATGTGCCAATGGTAGGCCTTTCTTGTTTGTATAGCATGAGCATGACCGATAAACTGCCTTAAAAACCCAATTTTGTACCTTAAGTTCATACATGTCCAGTATCAGGGTGAAATGGCAGAAGTTGTCAGAAGTTAACATCAGCTTACGTCATATGTAACTTCGTGCTTTTCCGTATTTTGACTCTCCTGTCGGCCTGCTATCGGACGCATCCGAAGTTGTCCGAAGTTATGTTATGACGTCATCCTAACTTTAGACAGTCTCCCGGGAGGTGGCAGAAGTTGTCCGAAGTTGTCCGAAGTTATGACGTCATCCTAACATTAGACAGTCTCCCAGGAGGTGGCAGAAGTTGTCCGAAGTTGTCCGAAGTTATGACGTCATCCTAACTTTAGACACTCTCCCGGAGTATCAGGGTGAATGGTATGAAGTTAAAATCAAGTTACGTCACACGGTAAGTGAAATAACTTGGTACGTAGGGCCGTGTGAGTGTACGAAGTTAGGAGTGTCGTGTTTTCACGACAGTTCACTTTGGGCACGCCATGAAAACCATGATACTATGGTGGATGTGGTTGGCGCTCCTGTTGAAATCAATCTTCTCGTAAAGAGTAAGCAAGCGCCGCACTAGTCCCAGATCACGAATATCTACTTGAAAATATATCCATTAACTTGTAGCATGACTTCCACGCGCGAAAGGCACGTTTGAGATGTCAGTATCTGGCGTCATTTACGTTGTAATTTGAACTGGCCGGTAATTCGAATGTAATTCTATAAGTGTGTCACTTGTAATTCGAACCGTGGAGTGTGTTCTAAACGGTGTCACTTGTAATTCAAAACATTTACCTGGCGGTTTGATCATAGTCGCTACTATCGGAGCGGACGTAAACTATCCAGCATAGTAGCCAGTCTATGGATCATCAAGGACAACGTGCGCAGACGTCGTCGGGTAAACTGAACCCAACAAATCTTCAGGTTAATGATAAAGTTACGTCAGTTTTTCATTATAATTATGGTCTTGGTGGTGATCGTCCCCACGTGATGATTGCAGACGCGTTAGGCCCCACCAGGAATCAAACTTTTGATAAACAATAAACGCCTGACGACACCCAGATCACGGATTCCGAGAAATATAAATAATATTAAAAAATAATTAGTTCGTCTAACATGACTCCAGCAAAACCTACAACCTACAATACGTTAATAAACATTTTCAATGTTGCATTTAAATGTCAAAACTGGAACTTTTTTGCTTTCAATCTTTCCATCTTCAACTTCAGACAACTTTGGACACCTGGAGTGTAGGAAGTTACAGTGACGTCACGTAACTTCAGGACAACTTCAGACACCTGCCACCCTACCCCACAAGTGTCGGAAGTTACAGTGACGTCACGTAACTTCAAACTTCAGACAACTTCAGACACCTGCCACCCTACCCCACAAGTGTCGGAAGTTACAGTGACGTCACGTAACTTCAGACAACTTTGGACAACTTCAGACACCTGCCATCCTACCCCACAAGTGTCGGAAGTTACAGTGACGTCACGTAACTCCAGACAACTTCGGACAACTTCAGACACCTGCCACCCTACCCCACAAGTGTCGGAAGTTACAGTGACGTCAGACTTTACTCCCGATAACCCCCAAAACCACTCGGAAATGGTCGTAACTTCGGACAACTTCAGACAACTTCTGCCACCCTAACTTCTGCCACTTCACCCTGATACTGGACATACCTCCTTAAGTTAAAGGCAATGCCAATGCAATTTCAGCATGGCAAGACAAACAATATTCCCGGTTGATGAATTCTGTCTGATGTTGAGATTTAGTAGATTTTCTGCCATTTCTTAGTTGTTCACGTCATCATTCATGCTTGAAGCGTTTGAAATTGCCAAAAAACAAGCTACGTGAAGGGGAGTTTATTTCTAGGGGGTAACTTTCCAAGGGCACAACTTTGGACCTGCAAAGGATTCAAACCAAGGACCTCTAGATTCTGATTTACGCCCTTTACACAAAAGGCTACGTAGTACCACTAACTGAAAATAAATTACCATGAATACAGCCAGATTTGATAATGAGACAGCCCACATAATGTCTTTGGTGTAATATTACCTTGGCAAATTGCTTCGTTCAGGAAAAATGCTTTAGAACCATGACAAGTCTTCTAATAGTTATAGTCAATGGTCAGCAAGCTGTCTTATGCTGTTAATTTTTAACTGTCAGTTGTCCATTTATAGCACATGGAAAGAAAAAAAAGAACAAGATTTCTGTATTTCTTTAGTACTAAAAAATCTAAATCTAAAAAAAAGATGACTCAGTCTAGTTAAACTAGTTGTCACTCAATCCATTTTTGCTTGTTTATCAGTTGAACTAGATCAACACAGAACAGTGCAGTGTTCGCACATGTACTGGTACTGAACTGGACCGTCCGTTCAACCTGTAGTTAATTACTTCCGCACGGGCCCATGGGTTTTCGAGTCATGTGCAGACTTGCGTCTAAATTTTTTGACCACGGGAATGTACGCACGTTTTGTCACGGGACGGCACGTACAACTGATTTAAGAACATTTGAAAACTTTTATCACATCTTCTGGGAAATATGACTGAACAGTTGGAAAATTGTCAACCCTCAAGTGTTGAAAAAGAAAAGGTAGGTTTGAAGCATATTTTTATAAGAAATCATGTCCAACCTTGCGTCTAAATTTTTTTTACCACGGGAATGTACGCATGCTTTGACATGGGACGACACGTATAAACTCGTATTTGCTGGGAAATGTGTCATTGAACAAGTATTCAAATTTGTCTCCCTTCGTCACTGAGGGTTGAAATGGAAAATGTAGGTTTTTATAATTTTGGCATCTTTTTAGGCATTTTTATCAGCCTTTCTTTCTTGTACTGTTTCCTTTTTTGGTTGCCGTATTGGATACTTTAAAGTTTGAACGTCTTGGCACTTGAGAAGCTGTTAGATTTGCCAATTTGATATTGTCTAGTTGTAAGCTGTCAGAAGATCTGCTTGGAGAATTAAGTTTGATGCAGATTTTTAAAGAACTTTTTACGGTGTTGTAGCAGAACTCGATACCGCGACAGATGCCCCAGTTTTGTCTAAAAACTAGGCCGATTTCACGGCTTTGGTTCGCAGGGTTGATCTTGAACATCAATCTTCTATAGAATTCCTAAAATACGTCAACCTTTTTGGCCAGGTTTTTGAAAGTCAGATCAATGGGAAATGTGCTTATTTGTGGAGAAGTTACCATTTCCTGTTTTAGTGCCAGGAAATTCCAGCTGAATCAACCGTTATACGTATTAGTGGGCTGGTACAAGTCCAGACTTGCCCCTGGCATTACTGTACATTATATATGACAGGCTGACCATGGTCTTACCAATACGGCTTGAACTGAGAAGTCGTAGTGACTTGCAATTGTGTAAAAGGAGATTTTTACATTGAAATCATGGCTTTGGCTGGAATTTGTGAGGTTGGTCTGTTCTTTTTTCTGATTGATTGTATTGTGTGCAGTAGCCAATAATATCATTTACATAGTTCAGATCTTGGAACAGTAGCATATTTTTATTAAGTGTGGTACAACTGACAGTCAATGGAGTTTTGTTCGTAGAAGAAACTTTCTATTGTTAGATTTAAATCTGAAAATACAGTATGCTTTTTGTAGCCTCTACCGGGCTTCAGAAGTGGCTGAAAGACTAGTTGACAGATAAACTACATACTCCTCTATCAATATCAGACCAGACCAACTGTTATAGATCTATTTGGCCAATTTCTACTCTTTTTCTTACTCTTTCCAGCCACTTCTGAAGCCTGGTAGAGGCTACTTTTTTGGCTTTCTGAGAATGTACAAGTCGTGTAGTTTTGTGGTCTGAGTACAGCTTTGTGGACCTCCACCCACGGCTGAATTTGAGACTAGCTTGTGGCATAGTTGGCATACCAGACATGATTGTCAGGAAATAGATAGAAGAGCTTCCAACCAAACAAGTGCTGACATTCTGATATTATTTTTCTATTGTCCCAAAAATGTCCCAAAGTGTCTTTTTTGTTGCCCTAGCCTAAATTTAAGTGGTCAGTGGCCATTGGACCACCTTTAATTTTGAGCCCTGATGATAAATACTACGTTAGTAATACAAGTTGGATCTGTACCTATGTCAAGATTGCACAGGTGACCAAACATGCCCGTAGCCAGGATTTTGAATGGGGGGTTCTTGCTAGGGGGTCCGGGGGCATGCTCCACCGGAAAATTTTGAAAAATTAACCTTCTAAAATGGCATTTCGTGCATTTTTGAGAGTATTTCCAAGAAAAAACAAGGAGAAGTCGTAGACATCATCCCTCCATGAAATAGCTTGTTATTTTGTAATCTTTTGGTGTATTTCAATAGAGATATTATGAGTCAAACTTTGTTTTTATCAGCAGAATGATTTGTGGTGGCACTTTGTATTTATCAAGCTGTCATGTGCAGGCGTTTAGTGTCTTGTTACCATGGTTTGTTTACTTTGATGGCCAGCAGGTCATTTGCCTTAGCCTGGGTACCATCCCCAGTAGTATATTCGCAAACTCTATAACTGTTATAGAGTTTGCGAATATACTACTGGGGATGGTACCCAGGCTGCATTTGCCTGTACATGTAGGTCAATGACCAGACAGGCAAATGACCTGCAGACCAGACAAACAAGATTTATTTTCCTGCAGACTCCTGTCTAGGGGTAAAAATAGATAGGGCTGCCTGGGTCTGACCTGCCAGCTGGAGGTATAAACAAAAACACTCTGTCCCAACTTTTGGGTCAAACAGACCATCCTATTATGAAGTAGGGGTGAAAAAGTGAAAATCCTTTTAAATTAAGCAATAAAAATATGCGACAACCTGCTAATGCACTCCAAAACACAAAGAGACTCAACAACTACCCACATACCAAAAATCATACCAAACCATCCCCCAGATTTTCCAAACATTCAACACAAAAAGTCCAACATTAAACATTTTGTAAATATCAAACGCAAACAGCTAGGAAACTCAAATTTAAACCACTAAACCATAATAATAACAACTACATGCTACCTTAATATCGCACAAAC